TAGATAGATAGATAGATAGATAGATAGATAGATAGATAGATGATGGTAGGTAGGTAGGTAGGTAGGTAGATAGGTAGACAGATGATTGATAGATCTGATTAAATTGAGTGGGTCAGAGCAATTGTGGGCTGTGTTTTGACTGCCAGGAAGGCATCTTTTGCCTCATACTTGTTTTCCTGAATATACAAAAATAGCTATTTGTGGAAGCTTTAGACACTAATTGGTCTGCAGTTGTCTCTTTTGTCAGATACATATGAATCAAACAGAGTTGACATAAGATAATACAGACATTGGCTGAAAGAGTTGACAACTCACTGGGTGGAAAGAAGAAAAATACTGTTTCAAATAAAAATGGAACATTGGCAAATAAGACATAAGATGCCTTTTAATGTGAAAATATCCATCACCTCAGAGTTTAGGAAATACTGGCAGCTTTTTAAAAATTATTATTATGTAGTCTGGTTCTGCAGTTCTACTTTCATTAAAGTATTGACCAGCTTACTGTTTTTACCAGCAGAAATAATTCCTCTGGCTGTCACTAAGAAGTATAAGATGGCGACCAAATGTTATATGAAAAATGTTCAGATCCACTGTTATTCAGGCATAACTGTATGTATACGTACTCTTTGAATTCACACATGATGCTAGAGCAAGCCATGGGAGCCTGATTCTCACCTCACACTATGCCAGAAACAAGCCATAGTAATATAACGTGTGAACAAAAATCTTTGGTCGTTGCAACTCATGTTGGGGATATCATAGAACATCTTCAATCCTAAAATTTTTAGGAAGAAGAAACTGCACATAGTCTCAGCTGGACTGATTGATTTCTGCCAGGAGCTCCTAGTCCAAACACAGAGGAACTTTTTCAGCCCAAATTCCAGTAACAGGATTGTTTGGGGGTAGGTGGATAGGATTAAAAAATGTAAGGGCATATGGAGGTTTCCTGCTAACGTGCCATGGGTCTGGTTGAAAAAACAGGGATCGACTAAAGCAAATACACAAGTGGAAAAGAAAATACTTAAAAAACAAAGAAAGTATTACAATCTATGCAATATGTTATCCTTCAGCTTGTTCTTGTTCCTGCGTTCATGACACAGGGCCTTTTTGGTGCCAGTGAGTCTTCCTCTCTCTCAGCTCAAGCTGTTTTATAGGGTGTCACCATGAACTCTTAAAGAAGCTGCAGGTTATAAATGTAGCATGTACACACACATACACACACATACACACAGGAATAAAAGTTATGAAAGCTAGTGTGGTTTAATGGATATTCTGTGCAAACATTTACCCTTCCCCCCCCCTTTTTTTCAGAAGTTATACCCTGCAGCAGTATTTCTCAACCCCAGTGTTTCTCAACCCAACCAGCTTTAAGATGTGTGGACTTCCACTCCAAGAATTGGAGTATTGGCTGGGGGAATTCTTGGAGCTGAAGTCCACACATCTTAAAGTTGCTGAGGTTGAGAAACACTGCTCTACAGAGTATACTGAGTCTATTCTGTATTTTTAAAAAGTCTTAATTTCAAATTCTACCATTAAAGTAGCCATTCTGCATTGTCAAATGAGTATATGTTTAAAATTTAGCAAATTTGTAACCATTTTAAATGTTGTAATATATTCTAGATTCAAGGCAATATAAATTGGATTACTAAGTACTGTCTGGTCTGAGGAGTGTGGCAGATTCTGACATTGCTTGCATGAAATCTGAAATGTACTGCCAAATTCTCAGATCAAATGCCCTGATGTAACTCAGCCATAGTAAACTTTCCTGGGATTGTCTGATGCTGGCAGGAACAATTGTGCATAGATGTATCCAGCATGCTCTTCTCGTGGCTATCCTGTTTATCCCTGCTGGCAGACAAACGTTGGACGAGGCTAGAGCTGGGCAATGTGGAATTTTCTAAAATTTCTTGAGCTCCATTTTCCACCAGCCCTAAACAATAAAACCAAGGAGGAGGTATTATGGAATCTGCTGTCCCACCACATCTGGAAAGCCAGATATTATCCATCCTGCTCCTACATACATATTCATATCCAAGATGGTATTTCTTATGATATTATTGCCTTCAGAGCATAATAGTAAATATCTAATTCAAATATTTACTTTCTTTTTGACTACATAATGAACTTCACTAGCTATAAGCCTTGAAGTAACAAATTAATGGAAAGCCTGGCGCAATATGGTTCATGGGGTCACGAAGAGTTGGACACGACTTAACGACTAAACAACAACAAAGATATTTGACTGGCTTACTGTGATTTTTAATCACATTGATTCCATCTGTGTGAGGAATTAGAACCTTCTACTATCACTTCTCCCATTGAACTATGCTGTCTTACCTGATTGCTGCTTTTCCAGTGCTATTAATAACCTTGCCTGCTAATAATGATCTAATTTAGTATATCTCTTGAAAAGAAATATGAATCAGTGGTCCAGTTGGAGGTGTTTTTAGACTCCTGACACTAATATAATGTGACCACAACAAGAGCTTGTAACTCTTTTGTAAAATGAGTAGTTTCTATATAAAAATGTGTCAGGCCTGATCCAATATGTGTCTCTACAAAACCTTTGGTGTTAACCCCAAAACACTTCCTAAGTTTCTGCTAAATTGTGATTTCAAATGAGACAGAAAGACCAAAGCACTATGAAAATTATTGATTATATTAATTGTGATAATCATATATACTGAGATCTATGGTACAGATATTCCTGAATAAGATGGGCTAATATTCTGAATGAGGAATAAGGTAGCTTGTTCAGTTTCTTAGCTATGTCCATGGCTTCCATTCATAGAAGCTTTGAGTTATTATGTGATCTGGTTATTGAGATAACTTCCCTTTGATTTTCCAAGAGCAACTTTGATTTTAAAAATCCCAACAACTTAAAATCTCTACTAGTGTCCTACTTATTTCCTGAATGTTTTGCATCAGACAAAGATTCCATCTTTTTGGTGATCCACCAGCTTTCATTCATGCTGACATTTTTCTTTGTGCCCCCCCCAAACATATTTATGCCATATGGTTATAATCCATTTCCAAACAATAGTGTCAGTATCATTTGAAAGCATGTAAACTAAAGCCTAGTGTGTATTGCTACATGGTATGTAAGTTCCCAAGTAATAATTTAAACCTCATGAATTGACAAATCTCATGCACTGACAAATGTCAGGGAATTCTAGCAGGTTCACCTCTGAGTTCTTGCTGAAATCTCAGCAAGGCATCTCCAGATCCCTGGTGTAGAGCTAATGAATTAATTGCTTCAGAGCTAATTCATTCAGAGCAAACGAACTAATAATCTGACAGTATAAGCTTTCTATATTTTATATTCCACTTTCTATATTCTATATTCTTAGACATGCAGCATGTCTAAGAGCAATGACCAGAACGAAATAGTCATGTCCAAATGTTGTATGTGTGTGTGCGTAAGTTTTCATGAATTTTTAATTTTTTTATTTTTTAAAAAACAATCTTGCCTAGTGAAACTTTAAATGAAACCATTTCTCAGTGTTCATAAGAAACAGTTAATAACTTTTCTTAAGCCATAAAATTGTATGTATATGTTATGAGTTTTTAGAATGTTTTCTTATTGCTTAACATGAGCTATGTGGTTCTGGAAATTTTTCATGCATATAGCTGAGATGACCTTGTTCAGATTTATGATCAAAAAAGTACATACATGCCAGGAAGTATCATGGGGAACTTATTACAAGTGGGAGGGGTATGCTCAGCCCCTACACCTTTTGTGAAACCCTTCATAGTTTTAAAAATGTTATAGGGAACATGATATGATGATTATGGGAATCAACAAGTGGGGTAGGATTAGAGTCAGGGGATATTTGCCTTTTTTCTAACCTAGGTTTCCACCGATAACTTGAGGATGGAGATCGTACCGTTTAAGCAGATTTGAACCAGAATCAATACTTGAATGGGAATATCATCCAGATACCCTATAGAAGTTAGTCTGAGCTTTCAATGCAATGTAGCAGTAGGAATGGTTTTATTTTTCAACTATAACTAGTGTAACCATAACTGTAACCCTAATCAGTACAAAATAATTCAGAATAAAATGAAATTAGTCTGACAAGTTTAACTTATTATGTTTACTTTGAGCTGATCCAATTGATGTATCTCAAAACTCAGCTTTCAAATAAACACAAGGATGGGCCATCTATTTTATACAACAAATTTCAGTTTGATAATATTTTCATTGACAAAGAAGTGGCTAATATGGAGCCTGGTCCAAGTTCAGCACCAAAGAAAAATTGAGTTTGGTGTTCAGCAACAAAATAATATTCATCTGCAACATGATTACTCCTTCAAAAAAAAAAAATCAAAAAGTCCATGATGGATACATGAATATTGATCAAAGGCATATCTTTAAAAACAGCATATTTTCATAGTTAGCACTAATACCAGATATTAATCTTCTATCTTGTTTAACAAGCACCATTCTATTGTGATGCATTTTCCTGAGTAGACTTTGTGAACAACTGACATGCAAAAATGTATAATAAACATGTCAAGAGTTGGCTTATTTTCTTCACTGATTATAGTAATAATCTTGGCCATATACATCATACCCATGCCCTTTATAGTAACTATACTCATCCTCATAAGTTCTGAAAGTATCTCCTCGTGGGTATCCATTCTCACTGCCATAATAATCAGTTTGGACCTCATACCCATTTTCATAACCATTTGTGGTGGTGACATCATGCACCCATGGATCTTCTGTGGTAGTGTCAAACTGGCTCTGATCTGCAGGGGTGGTCCCATCTTGCCACTGTCCATCTGTAGTAGTTTCATATTGGTCCTGATACACCGTTGTAGGGATGACAGTAGTGGGCAGGGTGGTGGGACTGATGGTTGTTGCTCCATTTTCTTCTTCTTCCTCTTCTTCCTCCTCTCCATTGCCACCATTTCCAGTTTCTTCTATGGTGCTGTTTGTGTTGGTGGCATTAACACCACTTCCATTTTCATCTACTTTCTCCTCTTCTTCCTCTTCATTCTCCTCTTCCTCGTTTTCATCACTGTCTTCTTCCTCTGTACCTTTTTTTGGAGCATTGTCCTTTTCAACCTTTTTATCACCTGCTTCTTTCCCAGGTTTCTGGAGAGGCTCTTTTCCTACTGGCACCTATATTGATGCAAATAAAAAGAGGGGAGAGATTAGAAACCTAATTACAGTATGATCAGCAAAGGCACTCACTCCAAATATTTATGATCTGGTTTTAACCTTCCTCAACATGGACTGTGTAGAAATTATGGGAATCTTAAATTTCCAAAGTTGAAAGGGCCACTTACACACTGAATGCATCAATATACATTCAATACATATATACTGTTGCAAGTCATAAGTTTTGGAAATAGACAAATCTAATGAATAATCAAACATATAAAGAGACACCATGTTGGGTGAGAGTGATCTAGGGACAACTTCTGAAAAGTATACTATTCCCATATGTAATCCTAAACGTATGGGTTTGTGTAGCCTGAACCTTGATATAATACAATTCTGTTTCTCAAAAGCAATTTCTGAAAGATTTTCTAGCACAATTCCTTGTTGTAAACTCCTGTAAAATAATCCTACTTTATAGCTATCCAGTTTTTACCATGGTCAAGACATATTTTTGATTCAAATTGTTTTTAACTTTTTAAAAATAAAAATTATTTTGGGAAATAAATATCCTGACACCTAATATTTAGTACTGCATGGTAAAATAATATTTTAGAAGTGCTGTAGAGGAAAAAATAAGAATACAAAATGTTTAAAAGTGGTCAGAAAAAAAAATTAGCCTGAACAGCTGCTGATTAGCAGTAATGCACAGTGAAGTGAGAGAGAGAGAAAATTATCTCTCTTTGTGCTGTTTCATGACACAACCTTCCCTGCATCTCTCAACTGTTGTGTAGACTCCTTTTGAATATGGGTTTAGCACTCTTCTGGAATAGCACTAAAATTATGTTTAGTCCCATTCAAACATGGGCTTAGACCAGTGTTGTCCAAACTTGGCCACTTTAAGATGAGTGGACTTCAACTCCCAGA